GTGTGTGTGTGTATATATATATATATATATATATTGTACCCTAGTGAATTTTACTGTTTTTTCAAAAAAATTATGTTCACTTAACTTTTCAAGTTTAATTTATCACACAGGTGAGTGAAAAAGTATTTGATTGCTTTTACAAATACCTTATAGTTGTAAAAACTCGAAAAAACTAAAAAAACTCAAAAAACTGACTAAAGCCAAAACTGAGAAAATCGACTTTATATGATTTGATTTGATTTTTAGATTTAATAAATAGACATTATTGGTTTAGATTTTTTTTTTAATGAAAATCCAAATCGAACCGACCTATATAAACACCTACTTTGCAAATTCTTTTAAAATTTCATAAATATTACACATGTAACCTCTATGTGTTTGATATTGAGATATAAGTTTAATTAATTTAATCTATTTCTTTATATTATGCAGGAAAATTTAATTGTTGAATTTGAAATATAAAAAGGTTCATCTAAAACTTAATCAATTACGTTGTAAAGGTGGTACAATAATTTAATAAAAGATGTAATAAAAAAATACTCATACGGGCATGTACACGTACGTTCAATTACATACGTTGGCTTAGAGTAATTAAATAGTTAATCGGAATTGATTTATTTTCATCTAGAAGGAACATGTAATAATCATAGCATGCCTTGTTGGAATCAACAAAAATTAATTGTATTTCTTACAAGAAAGTCAATCAAACTCTGCTCAGCCATATATATATTCTTACAATCACAAGCGCACGCAACTTCAGATAAAGAAGAAGGGCCATATTGTACATGTGTTACTAAAAATACGTCAAATGTATATAGTTGCCTAACATAACTAAGTCTACTTATATAACATATCCTTTATTTTCTCTAATCTCTTAATTATTTCTTCGTTTTAAGCCTAGTTCAAGAAAATTTGGGAGCTGTGTTATTTTGGTGACGTGTAATTACTATTAATATTAATTTGAAGCCATGTTTAGAGCAAGTGTATGGTCTAGTGGCTAAAATTAAAACTACTAAAGCTAAGTTTGTAGTAATATAGGTATAACTATTGATCAATGTATTTTAGATTCTATTATATATACAGGAATGCTTAAGTTCTGATTTTGGAATACAAAAGGATTATCTAAATGTTAATTAGTCTCATTATAAAATGTGTTACTATTATTTGAATAAAAAAATAAAGAAATACTCATGATACTCAAATGATTGATTCACCAATAAAATGACCCTCATAAAATTAAATAACGGCGAATGACAGTTTTCTATAATGGCAGACAACAAACTTTTTATCAATATTTTTGTATTAGAGAGGAATACTCGTCCAAACATTTGTTGGTCTTTACTAGTCCAACTTTCAAATTTGTGTGACGCGATTTGATTTTGAGATTTAGATTTTAATAACAAATTTTAAAAACTAAAAAGAATTAAGTTTTTAAATAATATATTTAAAAAGCGTATAAAATGAAATTTGATTAATTTTTGATATTTCAATTGTGTCACATAAATTAGAATAAAAAAAATATTTATCCAAATTAATTATTTTCAATCAACGAAAAGAAAGATATTAAAATAAAAATAAAAATATTATAAATCACAATATTTAAAAAGAATATAAAAAGAAACTTGATTGATTTTCATATTTTAAATATGTCATATAAATTAGAATAGAAAAAATAATATTTATCCAAATTAATTATTTTAAATTAATTATTTTCAATCTACGAAAAGAAAGATACAAAAACTGAGATAAAAAAAAATTATATTTAACATCTTCTAACATATGTTTCCATAGTAATATTTATTCAAATTATTTGTTTTTTCTGCCATATATTATAGTGAACACTTAATTTTTACCAAAATATAAAGATTTCATAATAATTTTTTTAAAAAAAAGAAATTATATTTAAAACGGAAAATACCCAATTACCCCCTCAATCAATAACTTCAGGGGATAATACGACTTTAGTATAGTATAAGTGTGTCTCTGAGATTTCGAGCATAGGTTGTGTCTCTGAGATTTCGGACATAGGTTAAGGGGTATTGAGCATTCCTATTTAAAATAAATAAATTATGTAAATTACTTTAATAATAAAAAATTATGAATTTATGATATTTCTTTTAAATCTTCAACTTTAATTAGTTTAAAAATAATAAATATTCAAATTACCTCTCCTTATCCTAGTTATTCCCAACTTCCTAACTTATTTTACTAAAAAATCTCATCCCATTTTTTTTCTCTCTCTCCTTTTGGACGTTTCTTTTGAAACTTTTCACATTTTTTATTATTTTTTTATTTTGTTAATTTTCTATTATTATTATTTATTTATTTTATATCCTTATCTCAATCCAAATTCCCTCAACAGACTCTCAGTCAAAATTATTATAAAAAAACACGTTCAGTTGAATACAGAGAGATATACAAAGAGATGTAAAAATACAGAGAGGGGACAGATACAGAGAAATATAGAGATACACACAGAGATAAAGAGCAAACACAAAGAGAAGAAAAGTGAGTTATTCTTTTGAGAATTAGGTTAGAGTTAGAGATTTTGTCGTGGTTTTAAATTCGTAGCTCCAATCAATAGATCGTAGCAGTTGTTTTTCGTGATATCCATTTTCGCAGCGAGGTAACTCTAAATTCTCGCATTATTTAAATGTAATGTTATATGAAAATTTGAATCTAATAATATGAAGTTCTTTGAATTGTATGTTATTATTATGTAATATAAATCCGTGATGCATGTTATTATTATTTTTTTGATATGAAAACGGAACAAAAAGAAAATGTTTCTTGCTAACAAAAAAATAATATAAAATAAAAAGATGCATCATATATTTTTTTTGCATTGTTATTAGTGTCTGTTATTTTTTTAGATGCAATTTTTATTAAAATTTATTTTGTGATATTTAATAGCTAATGTTTCTTGGAGTCTAGTTTTCACTCAAGAATTTTTTTTGTAAAAAAATAATATTTGTAAATTTATAGAATTAGGAAATAAATTAAAGCTTAAGTGATTAGCAATTTGAAAAAGCTAAACAAAACATTTTCATATATTATTTCAATAAATAAGATGGTTTTCCTCTGGAATAAACGTAAGATGATCATCACTAATTCATATTATTGTGAAATATAATCAGAAGGATATATAATATTATTTAGAAAATATGGTAAAAAAAATTAGACAAATTATTGAAAAGATTAATAAAAAAAATGCATAAAAAAAAAGAACAACGAAAATAATAATAATAAATAACAACAAC